GTATAAGAAAGTTACTTGTAGTGTGGAATCACTGAGCAGCAGTACTACATACATTTCCCAACAAAAACTTTATCACAATCAACATCACCAGCTCTACAATTAGAAACAAAAACTGATAACCATACCTTTGACTAAAAACCCTTTTGTTTGTTGGATATGGAAATGTGGTCAGTGGTCACAACTCTCTGAGTCTCAGTTTGAAATGCCAAATTAGGTTTAATACTTTTGGGACCATATAAGGATATGTATAGAAGAATACAACCCAGAATAGTAACTCTTTGCACAGTTCTATTTCTTTTGTGTGTCTTCAGCAAAAAATGATAATTAAAAACAGGGGCATTCCGAGAATCTAACTCGAGACCTCTCGCACCCAAAGCCAGAATCATACCACTAGACCAAATGCCCTTTATGTGATTTCATTGATAACAATTCTACAAACAGTTTGAGATCAATATCTAATTATCTGTTAAATTTTATTTTATACCAGGCATTGACGACAAAATCAGCTCCAAATTTCAGTTTGTGACATTCGAATCTCTGTTTAATCAAAATATATGCGATTATGAAGAAAAATGGCGAAAAAGAGGGGGGCATTCCGGGAATCGAACTCGGGACCTCTCGCACCCGAAGCGAGAATCATACCACTAGACCAAATGCCCAATTGTTTATAACAGTATCACCGTATATATATCATGTATAAAATAAGAATCCAAGAAAAATAAAAAGGATAAAGGGGCATTCCGAGAATCGAACTCGGGACCTCTCGCACCCGAAGCGAGAATCATACCACTAGACCAAATGCCCTTGTTTGATTAGAATTGTGCATGGACTTCTATTATAGAATCTTTTGGCTAAATAGATATCAAAAGTAATTATGGTCTGGGAGAATGAAAATCTGTTCTAATGAGCATGGCGGCATGCATGGGTAGGCTTTCATTTTTACAATTACTACACGTTGTGTGTGTAAATGTATTTAGGGTGTATTTCTACCATTTATTTGTAGAAGTTTAATCAAACTCATTATCAAATTGTGTTTTTATCTCAGTTTAGTTCAATGTTTATCACTAATTTTATTCGTCATATGTATAATGTTGGGCTACATTATCAAACGAAATGACCACTTAAGTGCATATCAATTATTTGGATTACCATGGATTTTCTTTTCCTGGACGGCTGAACTTTGATAAGGTTTAGCAAGATGCTAGACAAAGACATTACAAAGAGGAAACGGCAACTGAAGGGTCATGCAACCAACCAATATACATTTTATCTTATACGTTTTTTACTCATATTATAAATCTAAAAACGATTAAAAAACTATGTTATTAAAGATAATTGACTTCCTGGGTTTCATTGCTCCAAATAAAGTATTGTTTCGGAAGTTCCAAAGGACCCAACAAGTTGTGGTAATGATGACACCGAAACCTTTCCTTTTAACTGCATTTAACTTTGCTTTGTCTGCCAAGTGATTAAATCCACAAAAGTCAAAAACATAGACAAATCTAAGTTCCACCACCTTCCAATTTGCCTCCAAATCGAGTGTGCAACCAAACATGAAGTAAAAGATGATCCACGGTCTTAATATAATGACATAACAAATAGAAAAAAAAAAAAAAAGTGTTGAATCAATATCAATCCCTTTATCACGGTGGAATTAATTAATCGCGTACATTAGTTATTGATAGTTTGTAACTTATGTTAAACTTCAATTGATAATTTTTTTATGCTCGAAAAAAAAATCCTTGTTAAGCCACCTAGATGTTAATCTCATCAACTACTTGAATCAATGATGGAATTAGTTTCATTAATTATTTTAACTGTATAATTCAATAATATTATTACCTAGAAATGAATAAGTTTTTAAGGCCATGCTTTAAGTTTCATTATCGGTAGGAATATGTTAATAAACGGACGACATAAAATTTTACTCTTCTTGTGGTCATTTTATTAATCCTTCTAGAGAAAAATAAGGGATGAAGTAATGAAAAGGGAAAAGACTTACAATGGGAATGCATGATGATCGGATCATAGTTTTTCCTTAATTTGCTCCCAACCCACTATTCAATCATGTTTATCTCCCTATTTAAGGGATAGGAAAAATAAGATTAAAATGTAGAAAATAAACGAGTTTGATCGAGTTCTTTTTCTCAAGTTGTTTATTGTAATTACAACAAGAGAAAAAGAACTCTGTTCACAAAAAAAATGGCCGGAGGGTTTGTAGCAACAACACAAAAATGTGCAGTTTGTGATAAAACTGTATATTTGGTTGATCGGCTAGCAGCCAATCAACGTATTTATCACAAAGCTTGTTTCCGATGCCATCATTGCAACCGTACCCTCAAGGTTAGTTTCTTTTTCATTTTTTATAAACAATATTATGTTTCATTTTTATATTCCATTTTTTTCATTCAGTTTTCATTTATTTCCTAAAATCAACATGACCCAAATAAAAATCATTCTTATTTCGTAATATCATAAATAAAACACGTAAAATAACAATATTGGACAGATAAAATTAATAAAAAAACTTATATAACATAAAACTATTATAATTTGATCGGAAATTTTTGTAGCTTAGCAACTTCAATTCCTTCGACGGAGTGGTGTATTGCAAGCCTCACTTTGATCAACTCTTCAAGAGAACTGGCAGCTTGGAAAAGAGCTTTGACGGTAAATTTAATGATTAATATTATTATCTAAATAAATTTCAAAATTTTAAATTACAAATTCCTCAAAAAATATTTTGTGTTTGATATATTTCAGGAACACCAAAGTTCAAGATTGAAAAACCAGTTAACGCTGAGGTATTTTGGACAATTTCTTTTTTATCACGACAAAAAAAAATCAAAAATAAACTTATCTTGTGACAATGTGCTATTGATGCAACGATTTTTTTTATCTAACAGAATGCAGCCAAAGTCTCAAATCTATTCGGGGGTACCAGAGAGAAATGTGTTGGGTGTTCCAAGACCGTTTATCCAACTGAAAGGGTAAAAATATTACCATTTCATATCGTTTTTTCCTTTAAAATTCTTTACAAAATGCAAAAAATGACTAAACTTAGTTAGCATTATCGTTTGTAAACTATTTGAATGTAGGTTACTGTTAATGGATCTGCATACCATAGAAGCTGTTTCAAGTGCTGCCATGGCGGGTGCACCATAAGCCCTTCAAATTACATTGCTCATGAGGGCAGGTTGTATTGCAAGCATCACCATATTCAACTCTTCAAGTCTAAAGGAAACTATAGCCAACTTGAGGTCAATGGAGAAGAATCTGCTCCTGCTCCTGCTCCTGAATCATAAATTTGAAATACGTTTGTTATTATAATTGCTCGATTTCAATTCACTGGTATGGAGCTACACCATGAAAGATCAAAAGATTGTAATGGAGGATTTTGTTGTCCAACACTACAATGTGTTGTATATTATGAGTTTATGACTATTCATTCTAATGATAACAAGCTACTATAATATATATTTCTGATTTTAATTTATTCGGTGATGTTCCTCTCTCTCTCTCTCTCTCTCTCCCGCTCTCTCAAAACAAATTAAATTAATGTGATTTCTTATAAAATAAATTAATTTTTATATGAAAATTAATTTATTAACATTTCAAATTTAGTGAATTGAAATAAATAAATTACAAATTTTGTTTAATTGTTAGGTTAGAACTAAATTCAAAATCTATTAGGATTGGGAGTTGAATTTTTAATATTGGGGGTTAAGATATGACATTTGACTTAATTTACTTAACTAAATTTGGATCTAACTTGTTAAAGTGTTAACATCTTACTGTTAAGACAAAAACCATAAGACTAGTAAGCTGAGGAGAGTTCAAGACTTTAGATATTACATCATAGTCATTTTGGGATAGTTTAAAACCTATAAGCGGAAAACATACCAATGGTATTTAGAATTTATGTGTAGATATAATCTAGTTCTTTACAAAAATAAATCTTTTTTGTACTAAACATATTACTTTTCGTAAAAGAATCCCATCTTTCAAAAAGAAACCATACCATGTTAGCTCTAAAGACATGTGACCATACCATCTTTCTGAGAGTAACCTTGATCTTTAGTTTGTTAAGGTTTGGTTTCCATTTATAGTCATACACTTTACCATTAAAGCTTAGTAAGTTCCATAAAAAGGGTTTTTATTTTTTTTATATATATTTTTTATTTTGTTTTACAAAGTGAGTTATGTAACCCTTAATTGATGCATTTACTCAACGTAAGTAGGTTTTCTCTAAAACTTGCTAAAACCATGTTAGGTGGTGGAGTGTTCTATGACTGATTTTATGGCAATGATACAATGGGTGTTGTTAAGCATGATCGAGAGAGGCTGGATACCATGTGAATGAGAAGGAGATACACAATGAGCCAAAAAAAATTAAAAATAATAATAATGAGTGATATCAAGCAATCCACAGTTCCACACTCATCATATTTTTTTGTAGTTTTTATACCAAATGTCATTTTGTGATTGGTGGAATATGTATTATTAGACAAAACTATTATCTTAAAAATCTAACATTATCTCAACTAAAATTTTAAAATAGTCTCGTCTGACTATCTAACAATTTATCTGTCTGTTTGTCCAATCTCACATACAAAATGCTACGTCAAGTGTGAAAAATACTCTTGAATTAGCTCTAGATTCCCTTTCTCCTTATAAGAGTACTTCCAAAAAGAATGCAATGCCCGTCCAACAACATTAATTCCTTTCTTATCTTTTTCTTTAAGATCCCAAGTAAAAATATGACTTATTCATTAAGACAACATACTTTGACTTTTAGCTAAAACTAAAAACACTTTTCTCTATAATAGCAATACACTTTCAGCCATTATAATAATTCAAACTTAACAATTAACAATCTGCAAAATACAATCAAATTCAACGCCAAAATGATCATATTTATTTCAAGGCTAATACCGAATTTTTCCCAAGCTCCCAACTTCTAAAACAAAATAAAACGAATTTAAGCATACCAAAAAAAATATCACAATACAATATATAAAACCAAAACATCTCATGTTGACAACCAACAACAGCAACCAATGTTTTATTCTATCTTACTCCCTTTTTATAAAATATATTTAAAAAAAATAACCACCAAATGTTCTCATTTGCCAGTTGAGTGATTCTGAATCAACAAACTATATTTACAACTGCAAAGTTCATCAAAAATCCACATCAAAGCATGTATAACAAAAGCCCTCGTCATTCCCATTTCCATCAAGCACGAATCATCTGCAATAAGTTATAATTGTCATAACATTATATGCATAAAATAAAATATTGTAATTTTTGTTCCATCGACATCAGTCTCTTTTAACAGATGTCAAACACAGTACAACCTGTTTTGTCTTATCCAGTCAAAAAGAAAGGATTAATATTTACCAGCCTTTGCGCGGTTCTCCCTTTAAGTGTCTTCATAGCCGCCTCTGCAAAAGCTTGAGCAGCTTCTGCATCAGCCTCAGCTGCCTCCGCCTCCCTTGCTGCCTCTTCTGCTTCCGCTATGGCGGCTTCCGCCTCTGCAACCGCCTGAGCAGCGGCGGCAGCCGCCTCCTGCGGTGTCATACTTCTCATCTTTTGAAGTTCTAAATCAATCTGAGCTTTTGTAGGAACATTGATTTCATCCTTATCAAGTTTTGGAGAAGAACCCTTGTGTCTTCCCTCTAATCGTAACATGGTAGAAACCCTTTTCTTGTCAGATGATGATGCATTTGCTGATGCAATTTTATATTTGCGTTTTGTCTGCAACACAAAAAAAAACATCCAACCAATAAATAATTTAACAAAAAAAAATCACATTAACATGATTTGAGAACATATTTCGTGGATACCTACATAAAAATCAGATGACATATCGCATTTGATAACACAGATTATACCTTGATTAGTTTTCCAGTTGCAGTCAGAAACTTTAACTTCATTGATAGAAGTCTCTTAAAATTTGGAGGTGCCCAATATTGCTCCTGTAAAACAAGAGACAAATGTCATTTAAAAAGTGGAACTAGAGGCATTTAACGTTCAAAACTTGTTATTATTGTTATTATTAAATATGCTGATTAAAAAGAAACTAAAAGTTAAAAGCTAAAAATACATAATATAACACAGATACCTCTATGTATGTGCCAATGGTAGTCTTATTAGAGCCACCATGCTCCTTCAAGTTGTTTATTGCCTCCATTATAAGATTGTCCAGCCTGTTAATGACACGAAAGGTAATATGGTCATCATATACTATAATAACTATTAATACCATCATCTTCCTAGAAACTAAATAACCATGATTCATAAGAAGAGATCCCCAATGTATAATAAATAGCACATTATAAACAATCCACCATTCCGGTAACACATATACCTCTATGTATGAGGGTTATTTTTCAAGCTATTTGTCAGTTGATTTTATCATTAATTCCAGACAAAGGGTACAATCGTCATTTACTGTCGTTCAGAAGGTTTATTCAATGTAAAAAAGAAATAGTTTTTATTCATACATCACTTTATCCATACAACAATATTTATCCAGACAAACATCATTTACCCATACAGCAGTTAGTGTGAAAAAGAATAAATAAATAGGGCCTAAGTCCTAACCTTATCATAGATCTTTTTGAAGCACCAACTTGTGGAGAACCACTAGAAGACTGAAGAGGCCTCACATCACCTGAGTCTTCATCACTGGGATCAGCGGTTGTGAGTGAGAGAGGGTTGTCATCCTTAGGGACATGTTGCACTCTTTTCAGGGCTAACCTAGCCTTCTCCCTAGATCCCCATCCATTTGCCATTACACTCATGTTCCTCCATTTGTCCTGATCCAAGTCAATAAACCAACAATTAAAAGAATTTTTCAGATATATAATACCCTCTAGCAGAAAATGCCATATGAAAAGATGCAAACCTTAAGATCCACATTAGAGCGCAGGTAAAGCACACTGCTAAACTCTGGATCTTTAAGAATTGTGCGCCATTTTCCTGCTCCATGCTTAAGAACTCCAGCTTTCAGAGCTGCTTCTTCTTCAGATGTCCATTTCTGCTTAGGAGCACCCATCAAGCCAACCAAGACTAGCAATTTCTACCTGCACAGCATATTCATCAATTCCGCAATGTAACCTAAGCGTTATTTTTATAGAACGCGTCAGGAGAATGATCAACTAATTATATGTTCACCGAGCATATCGAACACATGGATTAGGCATCTGAAACTTACGTCACCAAGGTGTAAGTAAGTATCAGATATGACTAAGATAACCAACAACGAAATACATCAAAAGACCTCCTGCACGATTACTACAAGTACAACGAAACTCTGCTAGCTAGGAAAATATAAAGAAACCCTAATTTCCTCAATTCTCATCGATACTTATACAATTACATAGATTCCAAGCTCAAATTCCAATCAATTCGTGTATATGAACAGAAAATCACCAGAGCAGAAAACGATTGTTGATCGATTGATTTGACGATGTCGGGTCATGAAATTGGGGATTTTCACTCCCTTCTATCTTCTTCAATTCCGAAAAGACAGCTTGTTGCGTGTTCAAGGACGCAGTTATAATACAAAATTGAACAGTTTTAATTGATTTCGGATCTTGATCTTTTTGTTAGTTTTCCGTTTCGTGAACAAAAGGGGTTTTTGGTTAAGCGACGTGTGAGAAAATTAGGGTTTGGAAGCCACAAGCATCGATTGAGGGGAATTCAATTGGCTTCGTCATTTTATTATTATTGTTATTCTTTTCTCCCAAAGTTTTATATGAAAAAAATAATAGCACACGAAATTGTGGAATTGATGATATTGATCCGAAAAGGAAAATGACTCAAATGTCCTAACAATTTTCTCGATTAGTTCATTTAGTCTTTAAATTATTTTTGTGGTTTTATGTAAAACAAACATGTGGACAATCTTGTTGGTCTTTTAGTATTCTCTAAACTTGTTTTAACCGGGTTGCTTGTCACATCCACAATATTTGTCATATCAAGTTAACCTTCAAACTTGGACTTTAATACAATGAAGGATTTTTCAATCTTGTTGGTCTTTTAGTGTTAAAGGTCTAGGGAGGTTTGTATTTGATAAACTTTGAATCTTGAGATTGTATGGTAGCGTTTTTGGGTTGTGTTGCATTTAGTCTTACATTCACAATTTTTTCGAGAGTTGCTTTTGTTTGAAGGGTAGTTTCTTCGATCTTTTTCTGTTTTTCCACTTCCTCTTCATCTTTTAGAATCTTGGGTACAAGATCTTTATGTCGTGAATGAGCAATCTTTAAAGCGTTTTCTTTTTTGCTTCATGATCACATTAAATGTTAAATTACCATGTTTATCGACTGTCACGGGTAGTGTTTTTGGGCCTAAAGATGAATCTTTTTTCTTACCAAGATCAAGAGGGTACTATGCATAGTGTATCTCGGAAAAAGCTCCACCGTCACCAAAGTCTTGTGGTTTTAATGGCCGATTCTTTAAACGCGTGAGTGTGTTGTATAATGGGACAAATTTCTTTTCGATGATTTCAATATTTTCATCCTCTGTTGGGGGTGTTGTATCTTTGCTTAAACCATGGGTCTCCTGAATGATCATAGAAGGTGGAAGAGTATGATTTTGCAGGTGGCAAAAGCTCCTTCAAAGCCGCTATAGATGAAAAAAACCAACCTATGAAGAAAAACATATATACAAATTAAACAAGCATTTAGTAAATATAAACCAAACGAGAATACAAAACAGTTATTGGGTAAACATAGTGAAATCGAATAATCTATAATTGGGCATTAGATAGAAAGGAAAATGTAACATCTCGTTTAAAATAAAATAGATAAAATAAAATAAGAAAATAAATAAATAATAAATCCTAAAACCCCGAGATGTATTTTTATATTTTTATGTTAGCTCTAAACCCGTAATAATTTGTCGGAGCATTAGCGCAAGGAGTTAGATGTTAAAAATTATGGAAACCGGGGGCTGTTTGGTAACTTTTGGACTTGAATTGAAAGGGTTTTTGGAAGCAGGGGACTATAAAGTAAATTATGGACTTAATTCAAAAACGATTTGGGAAGGAGGGACTGAAAGTGTGAAATGGTCATAAGTTTGAAATGGAGGCGGGCTAAAACCCGTTCCCCCTCTACCCTCTTGCTAACTGACTACACACATAAACCCTAACCCTAGAATTGTTCTCCAGCCGCCACCCCCTTGTCGTCGTCGTGAACCATCGAGCACCACCGCCACTGCTCCCACTGTCGATGAAGACGGAGACCGAAGTTTGGACGTCGTGACAGGGGAGAATTAGGAAGAAATGAGGCTTGTAGTTGTCGTTGTTGTCGTTCTCGGTTAAGGGTCGTGCCACCTTTCCTTCTCAGTTTCTTTTCTGTTGCTTTGTAACATCCCAAAAACACAGTCTGAAAATTTCATTTAAATCAGTAATAAAACCGTAGTCATCATACGTCATAGAAAAATCATAACAATGTATCTCAGAATAATATAACAACTGTCATGTATATCAGAGTATAAACATCCCAGGCTGAACAAATGGTGTGTGCATTGCAATCTTCCCGGGCTCCTCTTTTGAAAACTGAGTACCTGAAACCAAAACTGAAAACTATAAGCACGAAGCTTAGTGAGTCTCCCCAAACTACCACACACCATACAATAACACATACTGGGCCTTGCCCACTGCATTGGCCCCCGCCCAGCATCGGATCGAAGTCCGGACTAACTTGGGCCCCGCCCACTGCATCGGGCCCCGCCCGACATCGGACTGAAGTCCGGAATAACTTGGGCCCCGCCTGGCATCGGACCAAAGTCCGGAATTACTTGGGCCCCACCCACTGCATCGGACCCCGCCCGTCATCGGACCGAAGTCCGGAATAACTTGGGCCCCGCCCGACATCGGACCGAAGTCCGGAATAACTTGGGCCCCGCCCACTGCGTCGGACCGAAGTCCGGAATGTACTGAACATAACAAAACATAAACATATAACATAATCATATATATACTGCATCGGCCTTGCCCGGCATCGGACCGAAGCCCGGAACATATAACACATAACACAAACATGCATGAATCACAAAGACATCAAGCATACATAACTACTTCTCGGGATTTCCCCGGCATCGGACCGAAGTCCGGAACACATAACATATAACATGTAAGCTAAATCACTGCATCGGGCCCCGCCCGGCATCAGACCGAAGTCTGGTACTACTAACATCTAAACGGGCTGGCATTGTGGCCTTAGACTCGTTCCTACTGGAAGAAGACTCACATCACACTGCTGAAGTCCTGCTGACAAAACCATAGCTGCTGGATGACAGATTCCCGATCTGTCAATATCAAATAACACCCAATTAATAATTAGATTCTAACACATATCCATAAGTCCATGCTTGGGGTAAAAGACTACTTTACCCCCTAACTTTGCTTGACTCAAGCCCAAGGCCCAATCCAAAGGCCCAAAAGTCTAATAATGGACCAAGGCCCAACTATGGCCCAATTTCTAAATTGGGCCCAAACCTCTACATGGTCTTGCCTTAAGGTCCAATCCATTTATTCTTGGTCCAATACTTGACATTCTGATGGTCCAATATCTCATAATCATCAAGGCCCAAACTATGGCCCATCTATGGCCCAATTTTCCAAATTGGGCCCAAACCCTCCTATGGGCCTTACCCTAAAGCCCATTAAAATGTTCTAGTCCATTTGCTTGTTCTTGGATGACCCAACACAAAGCCCAAGCGAAATCAGGGTTTCACATAAAATGATGATTAGGGTTAAGTGTTTCTTACTTAACCCATTAAGGACTTAATCCATTAAGTCATTTACTCTACTAGATAAGTGTTATGGAGTGATTGGGCTTAATACACAATCCAATCTCAATGGCCCAAGAGTGGGTCCAATAAGTCTAAGGCCCAAATACTCACAATTAGGGTTTTCTAAACCCTAATTAGGGTTTCCACCCAACTATGGCCCAATAGGCCCAAAAATTAATCTTTAAGCCCATTAGGGTTTTGCTAAGTCCATTAGAGTTTGCTAGTGGGGCACCACCCACTACCACCTCGGGTAGTGGTGGTCAACGGCGGCACACGGTGGCGGCCACCACCTTACGGTGGTGGTTATTATTATTTTTCATTATTCGATGCTAATTACAATTACATGGCTTTTAATCCAAAAAATAACCCACACACTCTAACTAACACACACACACAGCCACACCATGGTGGCCGGCGGTGGCGCTTGGCGGCAGCCACCACCTCACGGTGGTGGTGGTTGTTCCCGACTTTCCGGCTAGACAAAACGCTCCATACATAAACTAACACACATTAAAAACGGAAACACACACTCACACAATCTCACAGCCACCACCACGGCGACTGGTGGTGACATGACACGGCAGGAGGGAGTAAATGCGGCGGCAGGCGTTGGTTTGCATCAACAGCCACAACCTCACGGTGGTTGCGAGTTTCCTTGAGTCTCGGCCTATCGAAACACGACGCAAACGCAGCTGATCCGCCTTGGGGTGGAGAACTTCGACCGGAGCACTGATAAAGGAAGGTGGCGCGGCGGCTATCTGCTGTGGGACGGAGCAGCGACCGGAGATCGAAAAAGTGGGATGGCGGCAACGCACTTGATGAAACAGTCGAATGGTGGAGGTTACAACGCCGAGGCCCGACAGCAGCCTCTCGACCGGTCCTTCCCGAAAGCATTTTCAGTCTAAGCGGTTCTTCTCGGCAACCTGACTTCTGGCTACAGTGGAGATGGTGGCGGCTGGACGTCCTCCGGTGATGGTGGCTATCGGAGGTGAAGGAGGAGGGTGGGGAAATGGCGACCGTTGCTTAGGGGGGTTGGCGGCTGCAACACATACCCTAGGGTTAGGGTTTCACGAGTTATATACCCCGACCAAATAGAAACTTTCCCATAATTACAATTTCAGCCCCTCATTCTCTTATTCCTTTCAATCTAAGTCCATATTTACCTTTTAAACCCCATCTTCTGAAATTCTTTACAAATAAACTCCTGAATTTACTAATTAGCCCCTTAACCTCTAAAATATTTTCAAAAGAAGTCCCATAAATTACCATTTAGTCCCTGCCTTCTTAAATACTTACAAAACTAATCTGAAACTTACACTTTTAACCCCCAACTTCTAAAATTCTTCACAATTTAGTCTGAGACTTACATTTATTAATTTATTTAAATAAACGGGGCGTTACAACTCTCCCCCACTTAATTATATTTCGTCCTCGAAATCATCTCTTACCATTCCTTACACGCCGAACCACTATAGTGAGATGATCACCATCCTAGGCACACACTAGCCTTCTCAGGGTAGCCATGACCAATCTTTGCAAAGCCTTAAATTCCACTGGTGAACGAATTCCTCGCATCAGTCCATATCTACTTTGTCTGAAATCTGCTGTCTTGAGGTGGTCTGATTCCCTGACAGACCACTCATATTGAATCATTATCGATGAAACCAACCTGCTTATCTTTCAACTGACTACTCAACTTCTAATAGCTCGAGGTTTCCCATCCTAAAATAGGATCACATGCCTAATTATCCCTACACATCACTTATACTTGGCCAAGGCTCAACTGATCCTGTTGTGAGTGACTTGTTACTTTCCAATCAACCAGCTATTCCATCTGTACTTGCAACTTAGGGCACAAATACTAACACTACCCAAACGCTGAAATTGTCCGAACACTGAACTGCCTGAAACAATATGTTGCCCCATGGCTGCTTCCAAAATCTACCG